AATTCCGCCCCTGCTTATCTGCATAGCAACAAGAAGGTGCACCCACACCCCTAATAAATGAGTCACTGACACTGACAAAACGCTTCGCTGTAGTATTGTTTTATAAAATGATCAAGGTAGAACGAAAATAACAGCAACAACAAATGAATCTGACTCAGTATAATCCGAATAAAGAAAACGAATTCGGAGTTCCTTTACTTAAGTCTGACTAAACATGGAAACATCGTTGCTGGGAAGATTTCACAATGTGTACACGCACAAAAATAACCTTGAGCGGAATGGTTCCTTATTTTAAGTATATTGTTCCTGGAGCGAGTGCACTTCAGTCACATTAAACAGAAAGTGGTGTAATTCTTTAAAGTCTCTAGACAAATTTCTCGGGCCGGAGGTTTAACTTTTATGGAGGGAGTCCGGCTTGGATACTTGGGCGTGCGAAGTGTTTCTTTAGCAAGATACTTGATTTTCTATCTTTATGAAAGCGGACAGCAATTTGTGAGTGCAACTTGAGAAAATTCTCGGAGTAAACAAGACGGAACTAGTTTCTGAAATAGGAAATGATGTGTCTTGCTAGAAAAAAAAACACCCCAGTAACTATGGTTCAGCCTTCCCGGCGAAGTAGTGAACAAATTGACAGGCTAAAACATATATATTCACAGGCGGTTACCGCCCCAATTCAAGACGATAAAAATACCAGCAGAATTAAAATACATGAACTTTGATGTAGTACAACTTTCTCTTCCTTTGTAGTACTTTGATATTATGTAGGTGTAATCACCCATGTATGTATGTTATTTTATATAAACTTTTCGAAGAGGGAATATCGATTGTTAGAACACAGACAGACCAATAAAAAAAGGAATAGTATCCTCCGCTTGACATCGATGAGGTAGAAGAGAGCGTGACTTAGTGAAAACGTGGAACTAGGCTAACTCGCTTGCTGCAGTAAAGTAATATCGAGTCTCGCTGAGACATCTGTAATCTTTTAATCCTCATGTTCTGCCAAGCCTGATTTACAATTGAGATTGCTCTATGTTTACGTTTAAGTCCAATTACAAGTGATTACGAACGTCTGCAGATTAGTATAGTCTTAGTATAGAAACAGTTTGATCTTACAGTCGATCTTATAAAATGTTAGCCTGCTTAGTATCGCTACATTTGTCTTTAAACCTAATTGATTACAAAACGCATCATGCACACTGATATACATATTGAGCCAACTGTCAATTTTCTCATATGTAAAAACAAGAGATAGAATGAATGCAAATTACAATGTACACTACTCTAATTGTCAATCTTCCTCTTGTCAACTCAGTCCAGACTCCTACTGTGAATTGATCGAGGCTTTAAGTCTCACTCTCTAACGGAAGCTAAGCATATTACAATATCAGTTCCCAGTCTCACCCTGTCATCTGCTTTGTTAAAACAAGGCCTGAAATGTGACTCCTGTAAGGCTCGGTTTACGAAGTCTCTACGTGCAGCAGATATTGCGTCGTTAGATCCACTGTTAGTAGATGGACGAGAATGTTTACTGTACATAAAAGTAGCATGTGACTTTCCCCAAATCAAATAGGCCAAGAGACAGTTTGTTATGCCACTTAAAGCCGAAACGCGGGACAACGTTGTATCTAAGGCTAATTATTTTCCTATGAAGAAAGCTAGGAAAATAACCACTGTATTAGGTTTCCCTTTAAGCAGAGTTTGAAGTGCACATCGGCTTTGCTAATCCTGATCTCGTATGAGTAATTTAACTTTCCATAGCGGAGCTTCGGCGGCCCGAAGGGGCGCCAAGCGGAGCACAATACTCCTATAATAAAGAAAAGAAAACCGATGAATTGATTTTCTCATGGTTACCATGGCTAGCGGCATTGCTGGTGGGCGCGTACGCACGACCATGGCGACGACGACGGAGTCGCACAAGATGGCGGCTATACTCCAGCTAATAGGTTGACAGAGAAATGCAGCCTTGGTTTATAGCGACCTACTTTGATATTGGCCATCCATGTCATGGTCAATTGACACCTGTTAAAACAAGGTATCCGCTTACCACTATCACGTGACCGTATCGCGGGCTCAAGTTTAGAGCTCATCGAGGTCAGGTTTTTTGGAAGTTGACCGCTGACCAAGAGCTGGTTTTCGATTGGATTGCGGGCTCATGTCAAGTTAACTTGTTGTGATTAGGATCGGGTTGTTTGGAAGCGGTTAAAGCTAACCCGGGATTGAAAGGTAACCGAAGTATTTTTTTCTCTTGTATACAAATGTTTTTCACTCAAACTCAAAACAGAAGGCCAAACAATGTACAGAAAACCTTATTGCAAAGTTGCACAACTCAAATCAAAATTCTCGCCTATCCTGGGTTAGCTTAATCGGGTTTAAACAACTCGGACCAGGAGCTCCGCTTTTAGGCTTGGCTAAATCTATATATTATCTACTTAGATCTTACTCAGTATGGCTTTACCACGTTTTCGTTCACAGTGAGAGTTCAAATAAGCTATATACAGCTAATTATTTCATTATGAAGTGGAAAATCATCACGAGAAAACTGCCATTCATTACTAGTACTCAACAAGAAGTTTTGTGTATCTGTATACAGAGAATAACATGATATTGTGCCAAATGTAATATTTCAGTATAGGCAAGTGTGTCACGAACTAGTTATTTTCAATCGGGCCAAAGCTGAACAACTATCAACAACCTAAGTTTATCATCCAAGGCTATACCAATTTGAGTCATCTTTCAATTTCCAAACGATACGTATACGTACGCAGATTAATCTTTACACTTAGAAAACAGCAAAAATGGATTTATGCAATTTGTCCAATTTCTGAACAAGCATTCGCAATGATTTGCAAGGAAAACAAAAACACAAAGAGTAGTTTCAATAAGTACCATTTTCTATTCTAAGGGAAAGCAGACCGCTGAATGCAGCACCAGTTTCCTTGAAAGAGAATTTCTCAACTTGAACACTACCTACATTAAATTATTTCCGTTGAACTTTACCATGAAATAAACTGTTCTCTCTTTAAAAGAATATGACGACGGAAAAATATATCGGTTTTGACTCTCTTGCAGCATCACGGCAGAAATAAACTACAAAGGAATTACACAGGCTTTAAAAGGGATGTAAAAAGTCTCAGTGAAAGCTACTCGCCGCATGGCTTGTTCTATCTTGATTGTTCAGCATCTGCAAGGGAAAACCATCTATGATTAGGAACAGACACGTGACCAAGAGCTCTATCTCTATCAAGAGCTACTGAACATTTACCAGAGGCAAACTTCACCGCATTTCGATTCATGATTATTGCATTTAAGTAGAACTCAAGATGAGAGAACAATGAAGTACAAAGTAAATTGAAACGTTCAAAATTTATAGTATTAGAAAGTGTAGTAACAGTTCACAGTATAGTTTGATGTAATGCATCAGGGGAACTAAGGAAATCCGCCCCCGCCCTTAGTATTAGGTAACAGCATATACCTTGTCATGCCGTCTTTTCCGTATTTGCGGCTACCCACCTAAAAGGCAACAAAACTGTTATAGTTACAATACTGCACACATTAGAGACTCAAGAGGTATATAACAAATACATACAAGAACAGCGTATATCGCACGTGACATATAATTATAAGTTGTAAGAGAAATTCAATGTTAAAATTTTCATGTTGAACATCTTTTTGTACCCGATATGTCACGAAATCAACCAAAAAATGTTTAAAAAATCTTCAAAATGCAGACAACTTCAGTCTTCACAAATCTTTGTATGTACCAATAGGCCATTTTCGTATTGTGGGTATTGGACTGGAACTAGCTTGCAACTGAGGCTAATGCGGGGAGTCTTTTCAAATGCAAATGACATCAATCTCTTTTTCATGATATTCCCCCGCATGGGCGTCCATTGCAGCTAGTTCCAGTCCAATACCGAGAATACGAAAATAGTAAGTCGACCCAAACCAGTTGGACACACAACTTAAGGAAGTAACGAAGATACGAAGAAAGTGCACGGCGAAAGACGAACCGCAGACGAGAGCTTCTCGATCTCCACTTTTTGAGTAAGTCTCGTTACTTCCTTGCATGGTTTATAACGGAACAAAGCACGTTCAATACTGTTGTTTTCCTCTTACTCTTTTACTTAGACCCTTCACTTGAATCTGTAGGGAAGTTGGCTTGCACAAGTTTTTCCTTGGGTTACGCGTGCAGAATGGCCGATCGGTCGTGCGTGACTGCCTCCACGTAGTGTTTCTGTTTTGTTTTGAAGGACTTTTAACTTGAAATTTTTCAGTTAAATTTTTGTCAGACACTAAAATTTTCTCTGGCTTACCAAAAGAAGCGAAATCCGAAAGGGTCTAAAAGCTGCATGTAAACAAGAAACGGCGTGACCATCCGACACCTTCGTACTTTCTAGTCTCATAAAGCATATTGCTAATTATTATTATGAACAAAAACTACACTTAACGTTCTTAAGTGGAGAAAAAGTGCTACTCACGATGCTTTTACTGACTTTGTCCGAATTCTAACGTGACGTCATGGTCAATGAGTGTAAACGGAGCCCAGAACTTAACTGCATTGAACTTCTCAGACTCTCTCAGGTACTCCATACCTCGGTTAAGAGCTACACTGGCGCTGCAGCCACGAGCCAGATGATGGTAGAAACATTTCATAAACTCCAAAGTGGCCTCGTCATCAATTGCCCAGAGTGACACGAGAACCGATCGCGCACCAGCACCCAGAAAAGCCCTCGCAATACCAACCACACCTTCAGGTGTAACTGTGCCTTGTGCACTGTGACAACAACTAAGCACAACCAACCTTGCACGCAGCTTTGCTGCCTGCACATCTGACGCTTTCAATATAAAATGTTTCTCTTCAAGGATCTTAGATGTCCCGGAGTGGTTAGGAGCCAAAGCAATTCCCCCACCTTTAATATCACCATGTGCTGCAATGTGTACTAAAGCAGCAGAACCGATTCGTCTCAGCACCTCGTCTTTAGTTGCTTCCTTTCCAGTGAGAGGTGCAACGCCTAGCATTTCTCCTATCATCGTTACTTCTTGTCTGGCGTATGGCAGCGGCTGTAGACTGCGCTCACCCTGCTTGTTTGTAATTTCCTCTACGCATGGATCTCCCACTAGCAATGCTCCGCTGCTCCGGTGGAAGTCCTGAGCAGAGTTCGAAATCAGTCTTAAACTCGTCAACGACGGAACAATGCGTATCCTGAAAGATTGGCTTAGATACCTGCATTTATCATCTAAAAATGCAGCATAAGGAGCCAAACATAATGGACCATCTGGGACGATGATCAATTCGTCGCCTTCAAGTAGGTGGGCAATTGGGGCAATTACGCAATCATGAAAGAGGCGCAACGATTTATTGTTGAAGGGTAATCTTTCTACCGTCTCCTGAACAAATTTCCTCGTAGGAGATTTGCTCCTTAGCTCATCCAGTGAATGAATTTCACAGGTAACTCTGCCAACAATGTTGTGTTCTTTGAGAACATTGTTCCTTAAACGCTCCAGAAAAGTAATAGCATCCTCTCCTCGTATTTCCTTTAGCATAAACTGAACCCTCTTTTCTTTGTTGAGTACCCAGAAATGAATTTTTGTACTTTCTAGTGCTAAAAACACTGTTTGCGTTGATATATCACTTGAGACACCTGTAATGGTTACTTTGTCTTGGAGTGACCCAAACATTGATAATTCAGAGTCATACTGTAATTTCATGAGATCCACCAGTGCTTGTGCTCGTCCTTGCTCGGCAACGCACAAAGCCTCGTCAGTCTTTTTTTGCCTTGACAGAGTTCTCCAAAGAGCGGTGTAAGCATCATGGTGGGCATTACGAAAAGATATTTTCCAGTTATCTTCGGATTGCAGAAGAGCCCTCGTGTCATTGAACAATTTTACACTCGATCGGTAATAAGAAAGGGCTTCCTGCAAAGCACCTGACAATTCAAAATCACGTCCTAAAGAATAACATGCAGTTCCTTCGCCAGTCATGTCCCCTAGTGTTTTGGCAATGCTAAGATGTTGGTTGTGGTACTTCACGGCTTGTTTAAAATCACCCAGAGTCTGGTAAGCATTGCCAAGATTTCCATAAGCAGCTCCTTCCCCAGCCCTGTCTCCCAGTTCTTTGGCAATGCTAAGATGTTGGTTGTGGTACTTCACGGCTTGTGCAAAATCACCCAGACTCTGGTAAGCATTGCCGAGATTTCCATAAGCAGCTCCTTCCCCAGCCCTGTCTCCCAATTCTTTGGTAATGCTAAGATGTTGGCTATGATACTTCATAGCTTGTGTAAAATCGCCCAGACTCTGGTAAGCATTGCCAAGATTGCCATAAGCAGCTCCTTCTCCAGCCCTGTCCCCCAGTTCTTTGGCCATACTACGACGTTGTTCCTGGTACTCTATGGCTTGTTTAAAATCACCCAGACTATCAAAAGCATTGGCAAGATTGCAATAGGCAGCTCCTTCTCCAGCCCTGTCCCCCAGTTCTTTAGCAATACTAAGATGATGAATGTGGTAGTTGATGGCTTGTTTAAAATCACCCAGATTCCCGTAAGGAATGCCTAGATTGCCGTAAGCACGTCCTTCTCCAGCTCTGTCCCCCAGTTCTTTTGCAATGCTAAGATGTTGCATATGGTACTTGATAGCTTGTTTAAAATCACCCAGCCTCTGGTAAGAATTGCCAAGATTGCCATAAGCAGCTCCTTCTCCAGCCCTGTCCCCTAGCTCTTTGGCAATGCTGAGATGTTGGTTGTGGTACTTGATACCTTGTTTAAAATCACCCAGACTCTGGCAAGCATTGCCAAGACTACAATAAGCACGGCCTTCTCTAGCCCTGTCTCCCACTTCTTGGGCATTGCTAAGACGTTTCTTCTGGTACTCTATGACTTGTTTAAAATCACCCAGTCTCTGGTAAGCATTGCCAGGATTTCCATACGCATCTCCTTCTCCAGCACTGTCTCCCAGTGTTTTGGCACCGCAAAGATGTTGCCTGTAGTCGTCTATCTTTGTTTTTATCATTTTTAAATCTTTTTGTGATGTGTTTGCTTGTCTTGTATCAGCTATACACCTAGTGAACATGGAATATGAAGTTCTTTACGTCAGGTTAATTAACACTCTTTGTCGCTACTGTTTTATACTTTTAGCGTATTGCAGTGATTTTTAAAAGAGATACCGATGCTTTTACTTCTTTAACTTGTTTTTTAAAAGAAACATTGGAGAATAGATGGTGTTTTGACTTAGTCAGTATCAGTCACCGGATTTTGAAAGTCTTACTACACCCACCACTGTATTCATCACTAATGTATACAGTGTAGGCCTGTTAACTAGGCCAGCAGTAGGAAACAAGCTAAATAAGGCCCATAAGTAAGAAGAAGGAAAACATTTTGGGGTTCATCAGGGGCGGAGCCAGGATATTTTAAAGGGGGGAGTCACACTATGCCAAAGTGAGGGCACTCACCAGGTTGTTATGGCGTTTTCGCCACCTGTTGTAGGTTGTTTGCTTAAAAAAAGGCTTACAAAATGGGGGTCACGGGCACCTCAGGACCCCCCTGCCACGCCCTTGTTCATTGAATAGTCGAGACACCAAAGAGCTTTGTTTACAACAGCAGTACCCTGCATTACGTATCACAATAAATTATACACACAGTTTAGTTAGTTTGAACTGATGATAATGATATGTCATAATTAAATCCCATTCATTTCCAGAGAAAACAACAAAAGTCTTGTAGTGTAATAATGATTGTGTTAATGCCTCTCCGAGGGAAAAAGCTTAAGGATCTCAGATGTTTTTATATTCGTTGCGGTTCAGATTTAAACGTAGCGAAATAAAATATAAAATTAATCAGAAACACTGCCATCTAGATTTACACTACTCTTGCCTTGTAACAGTCAGAAACGTTAGTCCAAGATGTGTTTCTTAACTTTCTACAAGATACACGAGGGTAGAATAGGCTTCGTACTATATACGAAATATGTTTTCAACATCAGAGCCAGTTTCTAATACTAATTCTAAAATGAAACTATTACCAAAGTGTAACGTGGGTAGAGTGATAGAACCTGTGTTAGCCACCCTTGAGCACTATTGCAAAAATCGTAACGTAATTGTACTTTAGCGAGATTTCGGCGTTGTTGATATTTGTTTCTTACCGGGGAGCCGAGATTAGAATACTATTACACACTGTTTTCCCTCGTGGACACGGAAAATGGAACGAAACTTGACGGCGGTAAATTTACTCGGAGCAACTCGCTCGGCTTGCTTGCGATCGATTGAGAGTAGAATTCCGTCACTAATATCTGGACACCGCGGATCTTCGGCCACTGAAATTCAGATCGAGTTAAGGGCAAACCAAAGATTCTGACATACAACTGCACTTCAAGGTAGGTTTATTCCTCTTCTCGACGTAAATCCAAGTGTACATCCAACAGTAAATCCCAGTGTAAATCGAATTATGGTTGCAATGTCGCTAGATTTGTTCTAACGATAGCATGATTATTGCATCACTACTGGATAACAATGAATGTTACACAAGATTACAAAAATAGCTATAAATAGATTACAATGTGTACTTTTCACGTGTCGCACTTATCTCAAAGAAGTTTGCAGAAAGTTCCGTAGTTTTCGGGCCACGTTGGCGGTAGACACTAAATTTAGAAATTACTAGTGAGCTTATTCAAATTTTTACTACTAAAACTTCACGTGATAATTATTTACAGCACAAAACTATTTACAATAGGAATTCTAATAAAGTCGTTATAAAAGGAAGCAAAATATAGTTTACAGAAATGAACGAAAATTACTAGTTATTAGTATAGGTAATCGTAAGAATGCGTGAGCAATTAAAGAATTGGTTCATAGGCTTATGTATTAGCGTGCGTCGGTATATCGAGTTATGGATGCGCGCGGGAAGTTTGGAGAGCACGACAAAGTTCGAGGGGCAGCCGAGAGCAACTCTAGCTTCTCGGGTGCTTTTCAAACTTCCCAAGTGTATCTATAACTCGATATACGTACGGCTAAAAGCATAAACCAATTTTTTTTATAGCATAGCGACATCAACTTGTACCCCAAAACAAGTTTTATTTGTGATTTACTACAAAGTTCTCACAATTCGCGGTGAAGGAAAACTTAAAGGATCCTATTGCCTTGTTAAAAACACAACACAATCAGTTGAGCAACAATTGAACAACATTGCTCCATCTGGTTCCTAAAATTGTCAAGGAAAAATTCGCTTCTTCGAATCAATAAAGATGTAGGCAAACAAAGTCAAAATACTCAATGAAAATGTAGCCAACTCAAGTTTTAGTAAACATCTTAGCAAACTTTCTTTTCCAAACGAGGAAAAGTGGCCTTTTGCTCGCATTTGTTCCCTGAAAAAACACGCTAAAATAAGCAAATCATAATCCTTGTTAGAATTGTTCAAATAATTTTGATTGGCTAATTATAACGAGGCAACAACTGGACTTCAGCTATAAACTTTCGGTTTCCAGTGGCTTTCGAGAGAACAATGATCGCTTTTAAAGTTCGCTTTTTAGTTTAATTTAACAATAAGAATCAAAAGTTTCCCTTCCAGGGGAATCCGACGTTCGCTGCTGACTCACGCTCTGTGCTTTTCCGTACTGCATCACGAACTTACCACATCATTATGTCACAAGACTTCACAACGATATGGTTCGTTCGTGATGCTTGGCTTCACGCGTCAAAACAAACTACGACAAGTCATTGCTTTCCACAGTGCTCACTTAAACCTTCAAAGCAAGCAAGTGTTAGATACTACGAATATCACTTCTCGCGAAGCCTATTCGGGTGCAAACGCTAACGGGCGTTTAGAAAATTACATCATCAGAGCTGTGTAAACCCGAGGGTCACCGTTTTGTTTTTTTTTTTACGTCTCCGCTCTCTAAATATCTTTTCCTTAATTCACTGTCGCAAACAGTATGTAAGCGAACTCAACAGTATAAAAATTTTAAAAAATAAAAAGATGTCACTTACTAGCTTGAATAGACATTAAATTCGGTTTTCAATGATTGTTCCGTTTAATTGGTTTCATTCTTGTGTCACTCTACGTAATTCAAAATCCGCATTATCAGAAACATGAATAGTCGCTGTAACACAGTTGTTTCACTTTAAAGAAAGCAAATTCATTTGTGGCATGTCTTAACGCTTCAAGGCCACTGAAATATCAGACGAGCAGATCGTTCATTTAATTAAAATGCCAATCGTCGACACATTCAGATTAATAACTTACGTTTGAGTTCCCGCCTTCTTGCTTTTTTTCAAATCGGTTTCAACTGATGTCCACTTTTGCCTTTGTCTTCTTCACCACTAGAACTTTTATCTTCAGAAGAAGAGAAGGTGAAATGGCGAAGAATTGCTTAGTCACGCTTCATACATTAATTCATGAAGATGAATCATTCGTCTTATGATTCACTCACTATTTATATTTCAAAGTTTCGAAAAGCGGTTAACACCACAGGCAGCCCAAGCTCTCTCTATGAACCACACAAGCAACACAATATGGCATCGAATTATAAGGGT